AAAGACACCGGAAGTGATGCTGTGGCCCAAAGTGGTGCAGTGCTAGCCTTAAGCAGAAAACGCCTAGGGACAGCACCCAGGCCGTGAGTTCAAGCCCCATAACCAACTAAAAAGAAAAAAAAAAGGGTTAGGGCTGGGAAGGTGGCTCAGTGGTACAGCGCTTGCCTAGCATGCATGAAGCCCTGGGTTCCATTCCTCAGCACCACACACACAGGAAAAGCTGGAAGTGGCGCTGTGGCTCAAGTGGTAGAGCGCTAGCCTTGAGCTGAGGAGCTCAGGGACAGCGCCCAGGCCCAGAGTTCAAGTCCCACGACCGACCAAAGAAAAGGGGTGGGGGAGACATACTTGTGGTTTTCCTTGCCTCGCTCCCCCCCTCCCCAGTCCATCACGGCCCCAGAGTGGCACAGCCCATCTACCTGGACAGCACGCAGCTCTCCAAGCAGTTTGTCAGCGACTACCTGTGGAGCCTGGTGGACACCGAGTGGTAGCCAGAGCCCGGGGCCGGGGGCTGGGGGGGTGGCGGTCATGGGCCTGTGAATGCTTCTGTATAAAGGGCTTCGTTTCTGTCTTGCCTTTCTCCCTGATTGTGGCCTCAGTTCTAGCCTTTGGTTCGTTAAATGGACACCTGTGACCTCACAAATGATGCTGGGGTCCAGGATCCCAGATTCTCGATGTTTCTTTTTCTTTTTTTTTTGTTTTTCCCGGACCCCCATCTCAAAAATAACTTGCTGGGCGCCAGTAGCTCACACCTATAATCCTAGCTACTCAACAACAAAGAACAAAAAACATACCTGGCACCAAAAAAGGGCCAGAGATGTGGCTCAGCAGGAAAGCACCTGCCCATCGCTGAGTCCCAGGCCAGTACTCCCAATTAATGAGTTAGAAATAAAAGAGCCCCATGGGGGGGGGGGGGGGGAAGGTGGCTCAGTGGTCGAGTGCTCGACCCCCATGCATGAAGCCCTGGGTTCGATTCCTCAGCACTACAGACAGAAAAAGCCAGAAGTGGCGCTGTGGCTCAAGTGGTAGAGCACTAGCTTTGAGCACAAAGAGGCTCAGGGACAGCGCCCAGGCCCTGAGTTCACGCCCCAGGACTGGCAAAGAAGAGGTTGAGCCCTGCGGTGCAGGAGGCTGAGGGGCTGGGGCTGCATGCGCTGCGTCCCTCCGGGCCTGGCATGCGCTGCGCTGCGTCCCTCCGGGCCTGGCATGCGCTGCGTCCCTCGGGGCCTGGCATGCGCTGCACTGCGTCCCTCGGGGCCTGGCATGCGCTGCGTCCCTCAGGACCTGGCATGCGCTGCGTCCCTCCGGGCCTGGCATGCGCTGCGTCCCTCGGGGCCTGGCATGCGCTGCGTCCCTCGGGGCCTGGCATGCGCTGCGTCCCTCGGGGCCTGGCATGCGCTGCGTCCCTCCGGGCCTGGCATGCGCTGCGTCCCTCGGGGCCTGGCTTGCGCTGCGCTGCGTCCCTCGGGGCCTGGCATGCGCTGCGCTGCGTCCCTCGGGGCCTGGCATGCGCTGCGTCCCTCGGGGCGTCTCCACTTCGTGGCCGGCTCGCCCTTATCTTTCCTCCACTTAATACTTTACACGGCGCAGCCGGTGTCCTGAGCTCCTTCATAGGGCATGAGATGGAGGTGGGGGGCGGGGTCCCCACCCAGTCCGGTGACTGGGGGGGCAGCCTGGCTCCCACCGGACCCCAGGAGGCATCTCAGCCAAGAGGATCCCGACCATCTGGGGGGGGCTGCACCCCCCGAAGTCGGGCCTGAGAGCCGCACGCCCGGGCCTGCGCAGGCGCGGGGCTGCCCTGTGGGGGGATCTCGGAGGCCTGGGCCGGGGGGTGCGGGGGTGCGGCCCGGGAGGCCCCGCGGGCTGAGCCCTGAGTCACGGCCCCGGGCCAGGGCGCCCCGCCCGCCCCGCCCGCGGGTGCCCCCTCCCCATCTCCCCATGGCATGGGGCTGGGCGCCCCGGGAAGGGAGACGAGCGCCAGGCTGGGGTTGAACCCACGGGGCCCCAGTGGCTCGGAAGTGCGCGATCCGGCGGGGCGGCCCTGCCCTGGAGGGTCCAGTCCGCGGCAGGAGTCTGTGGGTGACTGGAAGGCGCCCCCTTCCTCCCCGTGAGCCCTCTCCAGACCCCAGGCCCGGCACCTGGCCGCCGCTGGGGCCCAGGCCCGTGCGGTTCATCCTGACCCCGGTCCCCGGTGTGTGAGGGCCCCGCGGGGGCTCCGGGCCGGGCTGGCACTGGCACTGGGACCGTGAACGAGCGTGGGCAAACAGCAAGGGGAAAGCCAGCAGAACACGAAGAGTTGGCACCGAGGACACCTGGATCAAGCCAGGCCTGCGATCCACCGCAAGAGACACCCCCCAGACAGACACACCTCCCTGCTCACTCCCAACCTCCTTCCACTGCTTCCCTTTTCCCAGAGGCCTGAGGGAGGGACAGGGCGGAGAGGGGGAGGGGGCCCTGGGGTGGACAGGAAACCAGCCTGAAACCTGAGCCGCCCCGGGCGAGGGCAGCTGGACCCCGGAAGCCAGAGCTGCACCTGGGGGTGGGGCATCTCCCGGCCCTCCTGCCTCATTCCCCCTGGCTCAGCGCAGGTGGACAGTCGCTGTCTGGGAGGGAAGGGGCTCCAGCCCCGCTTGGGAGGCCCGGCCGGCCGCAGGGCACAGCAGGCAGCCCTGGGTCAGGCGGAAATCCAGGATGGATCACCACGGGCTGCTCTGATGTGCCCTGGGGGGAGGGACAGCACCCACGGACACCCCATCCCGGGACACCCCCAGATCTGAACCCAGAGGACCAAGAAAGCAGCATGGGATCAAGAAAGATCTAGCCTGACGCCGGAGGCTCACGCCTGTCATTCCAGCTACTCAGGAGGCTGAGAGCTGAGGATCGCGGTTCAAAGCCAGCCTGGGCAGGAAAGTCCGTGAGACTCTGATCTCCTATGAACCACTAGAAAACCAGAAGTGGCGCTGTGGCTCAAGTGGCAGAGCGCTGGCCTTGAGCTGAGGGACAGCGCCCAGGCCCTGAATTCAACATCCAGATGGCAGAAGCCTCCATGGCGTCTGCCTTCTCCCACCAGCCTTGCCCCAGGCCACACAGCCACTTATCCCATTTACCTCCACCAGCCTGCGCCTCCCACAAGGCAGACGGAAGGCAGGGGCCGGCGCCACCGTGTGGCCACGGGGGACATAGCAGGCCCGTGTGCACACGTGTGCCAAGCCCACCCCACCCCAGCCAGGATAGGGCCCCAACCAGCCCATCCTCCCTCCACCAGGGGGAAACTGAGGCTCAAGGTCATCCAGAGTCAGGGGCAGAGCCAGGATTAGTTACTCACATCCCTGGTGTACTGGATTCTTAGTATTTCATAGATGCCTTTGCTCCTTGTGTAGCTGTAGACTGGGGTGCTGTGCGGTGGTGTGCCCCCCCAGGACATTTCCCCCCAAGGCCCCCACCTGTCCCCCCAGAACAACCCAGGGAAAGTGAGCTGAAAAATAAAACCAAAAACAGGGCTGCACCAGGCATGTAGCTCGCGCCTGTCATCCTAGCTACTCAGGAGGCTGAGAGCTGAGGATCACAGTTCAAAGCCAGCTCGGGCAGGAAAGTCATAAAACTCTCATCTCCAATAAACCACCAGAAAAGTGGAAGTGGTGCTGTGGCCCAAGTGGTAGAGCCCTCACCTTGAGCTGAAGAGCTGAGGGACAGCGCCCAGGCCCAGAGTTCAGGCTCCACCCCAAAAAAGGCTGGAGGTGCAGCTCCAGCAGTAAAGCGCCAACCTTGTCAGCTAAGAGGACTTGAGTTCTTTTTTCAGTCATGGGGCTTGAACTCAGCTCTTCAGCTCAAGGTAAGTGCTGTACCACTTGAGCCACAGGGCCATTTTCAGTTTTCTAATGGTTTGTTGGACATGAGTCTCACAGACTTTCCTGCCCAGGCTGGCTTTGAACTCTGTTCCTCAGTCTCAGCCTCCTGAGTAGCTGGGATGACAGGCGACCATTTTACTGAGTGTTGTTCCACAGCAGTGTGCTGGCACACAGTAAGCACTCAATAAACGCTTGCTAAGTGACAAGGACGCAGCTGTTCCCCCAATGCAAGCAAGGCTGAGGTCCCAGCTACGTGTCTGCACCCTGAGGATCCAGTCCCTGTCTCCCCTCAGCCTTCTCCAGAGCCTATGCTTAGCTCTGGAAACATATTCCCTTGCTGGAACATTCTGTGGGGGGAAGTCTCCCATCCCACAGAGCAAAGGAGAGAGGGAACGGAAGAAAAAAAAACAACATTGTTTGGCCAGATGGCTCAATCTAAGAAATTTATAATCAATCACAGTGAGGACCTCCGGGCTATAAAAACACATCTGTGCAGTGGTTTCTAAAGCAGTTCCCAGCCCCCACAGCCACGTAGGACACAGCTCAGACCCGGCGCCCGCACCCAGCCCCGGGGAGATCACAGAAAAAATAAATAGATTTGTGTGTGTGTGTGTGAGAATAGTGACAACAGATACAAAGTGCAAGGTTTCTTCAAGGCAGAAGTGGGAAAACAAGTCACAGTTCCTTTGCACACCTCGGGGTCTGTCTCCACGCGATGGTGATATTTGCGGCCATTCTAGAAAGAGCTCTTGCTTCCCACCTCCGACTTAGTGGTGGAAATACCAGGCAGGTTGGTGACACTTGTGGAGTGTCAGCCTTATTTCTATTTTTAAAAAAGGGGTGCATGCATGGCTGCCATCCCCACACTGAGAACTCGGGGACAGAGGATGGTGAGTTTAAGCTAGCCCAGGCCATGTGAGACTTAAAAAAAAAAAGAAAAAAAAAAACCCAATGCTGGGCGCTGTGGCTCACGCCTGTAATCACACCTACTCAGGAGGCTGAGGTCTGAGGATCGCAGTTTAATGCTGGCCATGGCAAAAAGAAAAAAAAAAAAAGGTCTGTGAGACTCATCTCCAATGAACCACCAAAAAGCTGGAAGTGGAGGTATGGCTCGAGTGGTAGAGCACCAGCCTTGAGTGGAAAAGCTCAGGGACAGCGCCTAAGCCTGAGTTCAAGTCCAAGACTGGCATACACACACACAAAAGTGCAGTAGCTTACACCTGTAAGCCAATCTACTTGGGACACAGATCAGGAATGGTCCAAGCTCCAGCCCAGGTACAAAGACCCCACTTCAACCACGACAAACCTGGGTGTGTGCTGTGTCATGGCACCGAGCTATACAAGAAACGTAAATAGGAGGATCGCAGTCATGCGGAGGAGACACAAATGCAAAATCCTAGTCCAACATGGATGGGAGCCAAGAGGGGTGTGGCTCAAGTGAGAGAGCGCCTGTCTGGCAAGTCCAAGGCCCTGAGTTCAAACCCCACACCCACACACCCTCCCCAGAAACAACAACGAAAGAAAGGCAGAGGAGAGGGGCTGGGGGTATGGCTCGGGGGGCAGGGCACCTGCCAAGCATGCAAGAGGCCCAGGGTTCCCCCAGCACGCCAGGAAACACGCACACACACACACACACACACACACACACACACGCAGCCACACATGGAAAAAAGGAAATTGGGGTACCTGAGCCACGCTCGACAGAAAACAGTGCAAGGTCAGGATACCAGGTCCACTCTACACAGTGTCCAGGCCCAAACAGAAAAAGTGCAACTAGCTGAGGTGGGAGGTGGGCAGCGGGAAGGGGAGAGGGCGGGAGGGAGGGCGGGAGGGAGGGAGCGAGGTTCCGGGATCTCAGGCACTTTGTAAATATTAAAGGCCACCCATGACTCAGGCTCTTCCCGTGGGTTGGGGCAGTGGGGGGAGGAGGAGGATGACAAGTTTTGGCGAATGAATGAACCGGAATCAGTCCGCGGCCCCCCGGCCCCCAATGCCACACAGTCATTTCCCTGCTTTCTGCAACCTGAGGCTGATGTGCTGGGTGGTGGGGGTGACAGGGCCGGGACTAAGTGACTGCGCGGCGGGCCTCGCCGGGCAAGAGGTAAACACAAGCACGTCTGAGTTTAGGTGGCGGCGGCGGCAGGTGGACAGGGGTCACATGTTCAAAGCCACCAGCTCACTCTCTCTTTCTCTCTGCTCACATTGCCCTGTTTCCTATGCAGGAAAGGGCCGAATCTTCCAGAAACTCGCCGAGATATCCTAGCTCCTTTTTGTGAGGCAAGAAAGACACAAGTCCCAGCAGGCAACCTGGCAGGGTGGCCGCCGGGCGCTCGGCCTGCTTTGCCTTTCAGGCAAAAGGAAAATAATAAATAAAACAGCTCCAGCAGACAGGCGGCTCGCGGCGTCTTTGAAGGATTCAAGAAAGCCGGGACTCAGGCCGGGCACTGGGCAACACGCCGGGGAGAAAGTACGCATCCTGTCCATGAGAGGCGCCACGTTCCAGGGAGGGCCAGGCCTCCGCCGCCGGTCACACCAGGTCTTCCTCCAGGCTGACCATCTGTCTCTGTCAACAGGACAGAAAACACCGGAAACAGTGAGTCCAACCCGCAGTAAACTTGACCAGCTCAGCCCCACTTATCACGACCAGACTAGGAGCTTCCTTCTTGACACCCAGCCTGCTCCTCCTCATCTGCTCCCTGCCTGGATATCAGAGAACACCGTGAATGCTAGAGGCTAGACAAGTCCCTCCTTGGCTCAAGAACCTTCTAGCAAAACCCACCGTTCTCCCCAGGGCATAGAAGTTCCTCTGTAGCTGGGGTCCCTGTCACACCTTCTGGTCCTGATTTCTCCCTACTCTGTAAGATGCAGCCACGCTGGGTTTTTTCCCAAGCACCAAAATATAATCTGTATATTCCAGCCTCAGGACCTTTGCACATGCTGCTGCTTCTTCAACCACGCTGGCCCTAACCTCTTTGTAAACAAACAAACAAAAAAACCTGAATCTCCTTGCCCAGTGCCAGCGGTTACACCTGTCAAACTCGCTACTCAGGAGGCTGAGATCTGAGGATTGCCATTCAAAGTCAGGTAGGAAAGTCTGTGAGACCTTTTTTTTCATTGGTAGTGAGGCTTGGGCACTGTCCCTGAGCTCTTCAGCTCAAAGTGAGTGCTCTACCACTTGAGCTATAGCACCACTTCTGGTTTTCTGCCCCAGCTGGCTTTGAACTGTGATCCTCAGATCTCAGCCTCCTGAGTAGCTATGATAACAGGCGTGAGGCACCAGCGAGCGGCTTGTAAGACTATCATTATCTTCAGTTAACCACAAAAATCCAGAAGTGAAGCTGTGTGTCCCAAGAGGTAGACTGCCAACCCAGAGGAAGAACAAAATAGATCTCAGGCCCAAGAGCCCAGACCCTGAGTTCAAGCCCTAAAAAATGGAAAGAAAGTTCTACCTCCATCCCCTTTGTCCTAGTCTCGGCAAATCCATTGCTGGCCTCTAGCTGTGTGTGTGTGTGTGTGTGTGTGTGTGTGTGTGTGTGCACACATGTGTGCGTGCGCATGCGCCCGTGTGTGTATGTAGGGGAAGGAACCCAGTACTTCAAGTTTGCTAGTCCTAAGGACCACCACTGAGCCACGCCCAGTCCAAAGCCACGCCCACACTAAACCACACTCTACCTTTGGCCACATCTATTAGCAAAGCTCCCAATAGTAAGCCACCTCCGGCTCTGGGCCACGCCCCTACCACTAGCCACACCCAACACCAAACCACTCCCAATCACGCCCCAGCACTAAGCCACACCCCCACCATTAGCCACGCCCCAGCACTCAGCCAACACTGGACTGGACTCCTTAGCCACGCCCCCGCCCGTGGCCACGCCCAGGCCTGGCTTCCAGGGCTCACCGAGGGGTAGGTGTAGCCGTCCTGGCTCCGGCAGATGTGGACCTCATCCTCCGTCGTCTTCTGGTACACGGGGTTGTCGAAGTTGATGCTGTTTATATTCTTCAGGCGCCAGTTCTTCCACACCAGGAAGGCCACGAAGCAGATGAGGACGAGCAGGGCTGCGGGGAGAGGCCGGTCACGGGCAGGCCCTCGGGCGCGGCCGCGCATGCGCGCTGTCCCGGCGGGGGGTGGGGGGGAAGGGGGGGTCTCCCTGTGCTATTCCCCTCCTCCCCGGCCTCGGCCCCAGGGCCTGATGGGAAGCAGACTCGGCAGCCGGGAGGGGCTCCATCACCAGAGCTCGGTGAATGAGGTGAAGGGGTGTGGGGAGCAGGACTCGACCAGACCCCCGCCAGCACTCACCGATGGGGAGCACGATGGACAGGGCCCCCACGCCCTGCCGCTGCTCCGCCAGCCCTCTGCCCGCAGCATCGCCCTGACCTGGGGGGAGAAAGGACGGCGTGAGGCCCGGATCCCCGGGAGGAACGCGGAGGGGGGATCATCTCCAGGGTGGGGTGGGCCCCGCTGGCTTGCACATGCGCACAGGCTCCCTCAGATGAGGCCTAGCGCCCCCTCCTCAGTTACAAAGGCCCAAGACACAAGTCCCTCCCTGCCAAAAAGGATGCTGTATTTGCATACATTTGCATAAAGGTCACAAACACCTGCATATCCTCCTGTGGGTTCTAGGTCATGAAATAGAAATGCTGTGTAAATAGCCATTAACCTGAATTCTGTAGTGATGACTGACAAAAATAATCTATTGTTCAGTCTAGAGGCAACTTCTTGTGAGTGTGAGTGTGTGTGTGTGTATGTGTGTGTGTGTGTGTGTTACTGGGGCTTGAACTCAGGGCCTGGGTGCTGTCCCTGAGCTTCTCTGCTCAAGGCTAGCCTTCTACTGCTTTGAGCCACAGCATCACTTCCAATTTTTGAGTGGTTCATTGGAGATAAAGAGTCTCACTGTGACGTTTCTGCCCAGGCTGGCTTTGAACTCTGATCCTCAGATCTCAGCCTTCTGGATACTGGGATTGCAGGTGTGAGCCACTGACACCCACCCCTGGGTTTTTCTTGCCCAGGTTGGCGCTTTACCACTTAAGCCACAGCTCCATTTCCAGGTTTTTGGTGATTCCATAAACTTTCCTACCCAGGCTGGCTTTTTTCTTGTTGTTGTTGGTCAGGGGGCTTGAACCCTGGGCGCAGTCCCTCAGCTTTTCAGCTCAATGCTAGTCTCTATCACTTGAGCCACAGTGCCACTTCCTGTTTTATGGTGGTTCATTGGAGATAAGAGTCTCAGGGATTTTCCTACTTGGAGTGGCTTTGAACTGTGATCCTCAGATCTCAGCCTCCTGAGTAGCTAGGATCCCAGGTGTGAGCCTATAGCAACATTTTTTCTTTCCACTATTTTTCCAGCTGTGCTTGGTGGGGTAGGGGATATCGAAGGCTCTGAAACTGGGGTCATGGGGGTCAGCTTAGATGCAAGAAGGTGTCTTGAGTGCGTGTGTGTGTGTTTGGGGGGGGGTCCCTAAATAGTCCAAGTTGAGGCTCAGTGCTCCACCTCCAGCATCAATAATACCAATAACAGCCATGTTAACTGGGACATCTGGGAGATCTGTGGAAACTTTTCTCCTGACCAGGCCCTTCTCCAAATTTGGGGCTTGTTGGGGTGACCTATGATGACCTCCATCTACCCCCAGCTCCTTCCCCAGCCTCCTTCTACCCGAGCAGTTCCTGCCTTATCTCCTCCATGGCTAAACAAAGGCTTCAGTTGTCAAGAGGAAAAGAAAATATTCTGGAACTTGCTGATGTGATGTTTTGGGGGATTTCTGTGTTTTAGTGGGTTATTTTTTTCCTTCTTTCTTTCCTTGCTAGAAAACCCTAGAAGTCCATTCCCAGGCAGCCAGCACACGCCCCCTGGCGTACAAAGGGATGAACTGCAGATCACCTCCAGGCAAGGTCTCCTTCACTAAATCTAACGGAGGGAACACTTCCACACTGTGTGTGGGAAAAATGACAAGAAAACCCAATCTGGTTGGGCACTGGTGGCTCCCGCCTGTCATCCTAGCTACTCAGGAGGCTGAGATCTCAGGATCGAAGTTCAAAGTCAACCCAGGTAGGAAAATCCATGAAATTCTTATCTCTAATGGACCAGCAAAAACTTGTAAGTAGAGCTGTGGCTCCAACAGTAGAGAACTAACCTCAAACAAAAATGATCAGGGACGGCGGCGAGGCCCTGAGTTCAAGCCCACGGACTGGTGCACACATCTTACAGGGAGAGACGGCCAGGCCACCTGGACTCCCGCCACCGTGTCTGTTCACCCTGTGTCTATAAACAGGCCAGCGAGGCCCAGCTCGCACCTTGAGAGGACGTGGTGAAGGACTGTGCATAGGTGAGCGCAGCTGTGGTTGCGGGGCTCCAGGAAGTGCTGGAAGGTGGCGGGGTGTCTGGGTGCCTCGGGATCCCTGTTGTAGTGCTGACCGCAGGTTTGGTGGTGGTTGGCCTCTGGGTGCTCGGTATAGGCTCAGCCTCTGCGGGAATGAACAATTCTTGAGTCCAATTCTGGATCCCCTAGCTTTCGAACTGTGCTTGCAAGAAATAACTAAAAACACACACACTGAAAACAGTCAGCCATTGGGATGGACACTGTGATATATTTCTTGTTCTTTCTTTTTTGTTTTTTGCCAGTCCCGGGCTTGAACTCATGGCCTGGGCGCTGTCCCTGAGCTTCTTTTGCTCAAGGCTAGCGCTCTACCACTTGAGCCACAGCACCACTTCTAGCTTTTTCTGTGTATGTGATACTGAGGAATCCAACCCAGGGTTTCATGCCTGTTAGGCAAACACTCTACCATTAAGCCACCTTCCCAGCCCCCCCCCTTTTTTTTTTTTAAATTCCAGCCCTGGGGCTTGAACTCAGGACCTGGACACTGTCCTGATCTTTTATGCTCCAGGCTAGTGCTCTACCACTTGAGCCACAGCTCACTTCAGGCTTTTTGGTGGTTCATTGGAGATAAGAATGTCCTGGAGGGGCTGGGAAGTGGCTCAGTGGTAGAGCGCTTGCCTTGCATGCCCAAGGCCCTGGGTTCCATTCCTCAGCACCACATAAGCAAAAAGAAAAAGGCCGGAAGTGGTGCAGTGGCTCAAGTGGTAGAGCGCTAGCCTTGAGCTGAAGAGCTGAGGGACAGTGCCCAGGCCCAGAGTTCAGGCCCCACGACCGGACGCCCCCACCCCAAAAAAAAAAAGAATGTCCTGGACTGTTCCTGCTGGCTGGTTTCAAACCAAGAACTCTCATATTTAGCCTCCTGAGTAGCTGGGATTACAGGCGTGAAGCACTGGACAGATGGCAGAAGGCAGACCTGAGCCCCCACCTGGCAGGCAGCTCCTCATGTCCTGGGCCAGCAGTATGCCATCCGGACAGGCACAGGTGAACTTTGGGGAGTGTGGGTTGATCTGAGGGGCGGGTAGACACAGGTACTCGCAGCCACCGTTGGGGAGAGATGTCTTCTCACACCAGTTTACTCCTAAAGGTAAAGAAGGAAATCCAGGTGAGACAGAGCCCATCATCAGCTAGGCTCAGAACATTCCAGAAAATTCTAGAAACTTTTTCTTTCCCCTAAATAAATTTCCTTCTTACCTCTCGGCTGTGTGATATTGTGGAACAAGACAATATCTTCTGGGGACAAGAGGTTTTCGGCCATTAAATTGACATCAGAGCCAGTGAGGCGATTGGCACTGAAAATGGCTTCCTTGATGATATCCGTCCAAAATACCTTTTCCTACACAGGTGACACAGCACAAATAAAATTAGCTAAAGGGGCAGTTGCCGGGCACTGGTGGCTCATGCCTGTCATCCTAGCTACTCAGGAGGCTGAGATCTGAGGATCAGGTTTAAAGCCAGCCAGGGCAGGAAAGGCCATGAGACTCTTATCTCCAATAAACCACCAGAAAACCGGAAGTGGTGCTGTGGCTCAAGTGGTAGAGCGCTCGCCTTGAGCTGAAGAGCTAAGGGACAGCGCCCAGGCCCAGAGTTCAAGCCCCACAACTGAAAAAAAAAAATCTTGAAGATTTTTTTTTGTGCTGGTCCTGGGGCTTGAACTCGAGGCCTAAGCACTGTTGCTGAGCTCTTTTGCTCAAGGCTAGCATCCTACCACTGGAGCCACAGGTCCACTTCCGGTTTTCTGGTGGTTTATTGGAGATAAGAGTCTCATGGACTTTTCTTCTTGGGCTGGCTGTGAACCGCGTGATACTCAGATCTCAGCCTCCTGAATAGCTAGTTATTTTTCTGAACACAGTATCTTCAAGGTCTCCATTTTATATCATGTTTCAGCATTTCCTTTTCTAATGCTGAGCAATGTTCTAGTATATACCCAGATTTAGTCAAAAACAGCTAACTATGAATTCCTTAGGTCCCCAGGTCTCACCTCAAAGATGGCCAAGGAGAAGGGGTGAGCCAGTTGCTTCTCATCTTCTAAGATGACCTTTCGATTACCTCCATTGACGTCGATGCTGGAGATGGAATGGAGTTTGGAATCAACCCAGTAGAGGCGGCCACTGGCAAGATCTAGGACACACAAATGGATAAGGAATGGTCACCACGTAGATGCCAGATATTTCCAGAAGATTCTAGAAAGTTCTAGAGAATTTCAGGACCCTGATGATTTTGTTAGACTACTCTGTTCCCCACAGAAGAAGCCCTGACAGGTTCTGTAAAATCTCAAGGGGATCGTAGAGGTGGTTTTGGACACCAGGTCACCACACCATGTCCTGGGGAGGGCAGGCTCTTCACATACGTACCCAGTGTGATGCCATTGGGCCACTGGATGTTTTCTGTCACCAGCGAGTACACATCCACGCCGTTCAGGCCTCCTTTCTCGATCTTGGCCGGGGTGCCCCAGTCTGTCCAGTACATAAAGCTGATGGGAAGGACGGAGGAGATTAGAATGCCAGTTTGAGTTTTGAACTCAGAGCCTGCCGGGGACAACTACCACAGAAGAGCCAGGAAGGAGTTGAGAGCCCACATTGAGGTGAGGGGTAGTGAGTGGTTAGTGCCTGCATTGTGCGCACACATGGGGTTTGGGGGTCCAATTTTTGATGAAAATGGGTTATTTTATTTTGGGCTTGAGCTCAGGGCCTGGGCACTGTCCTTCAGCTTTTTTACTCATGGTTGGTGTTCTACCACTTGAGCCCCAGTTCTTGTTTAGGATTTTCTGGTGTTTGATTGGAGATAGGGGTCTCACAGACTTTCCCGCCTGGACTGGCTTTGAACTGTCATACGAAAATAAGCCAGAAGCCAGGTGCTGGTGGCTCACACCTGTAATCCTACCTACTCAGGAGGCTGAGATCTGAGGATTGCGGTTTAAAGCCATCCAGGGCAGGAAAATCCACGAGACTTATCTCCAATAAACCACCAGAAACCCAGAAGTAGTGCTGTGGCACTAGTGTTAAGAGCCCTAGCCTTGAGCTGAAGAGCTCGGGGACAGTGCCCAGGCCAAGAGTTCAAGCCCCACAACTGACCCCCCCCCAAAAAAAAAGTTGTATTATGTGTTGGCAGTTCCCTCCCCTTTTAAGGGTAATATTCCAGCGTATGGACATGCCACATCGCGTTATGCATTTGTCCATGGGCCCTCCCACCTTTTTGGCTATTATGAATCATAAGGTTATGATCACAGCCCACAAAATGTCTCTTCAAGAACGGGCTTGCATTGTCTGGAGCCAGTGGCTCACGCCTGTAATCCTAGCCACTCAGGAGGCTGAGATCTGAGAATTACCTTTCAAAGCCAGCCCAGGCAGGAGTCGGAGAGACTCTTATCTCCAATAAACCACTCAGAAAACCAGAAGTGGTGCTGTGGCTCAAGTGGTAGAGCACTAGCCTTGAGCTGAAGAGCTGAGGGACAGCTCCCTGGCCCAGAGTTCAAACCCTACGACAAAGTATAGTAGTGCATGCCTGTAACCCCAGCCCTTTGGAGGCTGAGACAGAGCAATACTTTGTCTGGGCGAGGGGGAATTCTTCTGGAGTGTGTGCAATTCTTCTGGAGCTAGAACTGAAGAAAACATCCCAGGATACCTGGCCATATTCTCTAAGTACAAAGTTTTATCTTTCTTTTCGGGATGAGCACGCACCCGTGCACCGGGTCCACCACGATGGCCCGCGGCTTGGAGCCGCTCTTCTGCACCAGCGTCTTCCTCTTGGTGCCCCTGGTGTCGGCCACGGACACGGTGCCCAGGATGGAATCGGTCCAGTAGATGTGGCCGTGGATCCAGTCCACAGCCAGTCCATCCGGGGCCTTGAGGTCCGTGTTGATGATGGTGTCGTAGGACGCGCTGGGGGCGTGGTCGATCTGGGTGCTGAGACCAAGAGGGCGCAGAGCGTCAGGGCCCAGGGCCTGGTCAATCATGGATAGCGGTGGGCGGGGCCCAAGGCAAAGGGCGGGGCCCAGAGCAGTGGGTGGAGCCAGAACCTTTACCAATCTTGGGGTGGGGCAGGAGGCTAAGTCGGTCCTGCCAATCCTAGATGACAGTGGGCGGGACTAGGGAAGTGGGTGGGGCCAGAGCTTGGCCAGTACGTGGGTGGTAGTGGGTGGGACCAGAACATTATCAATCTGGAGCCAGTAGGTTGTCAGTAGTCCTGCCAATCCTGGACAATAGTGGGCGGGGTGAGGAAAGTGGGTGGAGCCAGACCTCTCAAGCTGGAGGGGGTGGGCGGGGCCACAGCCTCTGGTCAATGGGGTGGGGGGAAGGGGCGGTGCACCGGACCTAGTTTACCTGTAGATCTTCTTTTGGGAGATGTCAGACCAGTAAATTCTGTTGTTGGCCACCTCGGTGTCCAGAGCGACCACGTTCTTCAAGTTGGGGATGAGGCTGATGTACTCGCTGTAGTCCAGCGCCATCATCCTCACCTCATGACGGTTGGTGAAGAACAGGTAGGCGATGGAGCCTGGGGAGCCAGGGAGTGGGGTCAGGCCAGCAGAGGGGACTCCTCTGCAGGGTGTGAGAAAGCCAGGGGAGGGATCTCTCCCCACCCCAATGGGGGAACAGTGTCTTAACACCTACGTCTGGCTAGTCTTGGAAGGAAGGTCTAACCATGATTCAACTAGTGAATTCTAAGTCTGCTTGCCCTGCCTTGCCCAGTCCATGCGCTCTTTCTGCCTCTTCTTTTTTCTTTCTTATTTTGTACCTATATCTGGAATTGAACTCAGGTCCTCACATTCTCAATGTGCTTTCTTGTTCAAAGCTGGTGCTTTACCGCTTGAACCAGGCCACCAGTGGCATTTTGCTCATTATTCTGGAGATGGGAGTCTCACGCGCGATTTTGCTGCAAACTCTGATCCTCGCTTGGAACCTGGATCTTCAAGATCTTAGCCTCCTGAGTTGTTAGGATTACAGGTGTGAGCCACCAGTACCCAGTTTTAAACAGGCGGTTTGAACGTGCCCAAGGCGCTGATAAAATGTGAGCCCCGGCTCACATCTGCCCAGCACTCACCCACGGCCTTGCAGGTTTTGGTGCGGGGGTCCATCTGGAAGCCTGTCTCGCACTCGCATTTGTAGCTGCCCTCCAGGTTCACACATCGCTGGCTGCACATGTCCGGCTCCTGACACTCATCAATATCTACAGGTAACATGGGACAAAAGGCTATTGGGGGGTTCTGGAGATTGAGCCTAGGGCCTTGTGCCCGTTAGACGAAGCTCTACCACCAATATTAGCACTTCATTGAACTCAGGGTCTCCTGATCTTGCTCTGCTGGCTTGCTCATGGCTGGCGCTCTACAACTTGAGTCATGCCTCCAGTCCAACTTTTTGCTGGTAAACTGGAGATAGTATCCCAGGCTATTCTTCCTGGACTGGCTTTTGAATAGGTGAGTTATAACCGAGTCCTTTTTGCTCTTGTTGCTTTTTTTTTTTTTTGCCTGGGACAGCCTAGACTATGATGTTATTATTTATACTTCCTATCTAGATGATGAGCAGGTTCTACTACACCCAGCCTTTTCTTTTGAGATAGTGTCTTTTGAGCTTTTGTGCCCAGTTCTGGCCTGGAACCGTGATCCTCCCAATCTCAGCCTGCCAAATATCTGGGATGATAGAAGATCACCACCACACCCAGCTCTCAGGTGAGGTAGGCTCTCCTTTCTTGCCTGGGCTAGCCTGGAAGTTCAATCCTCCTCCCCTTGCTCCTGAGTAACTAGAATGACAGGCAGGAACAGCCCCCCAGTCCCTGGCCTGCTGAGCCCAGATTTTGAAAGGTCAGGCTCATTCATGCGCAGTGCCCGACCCACAGACCTGAAGCGGGGACGCTGATTTCAACACATGAAAAGCGAGACATAGAGAATTCTGGAAGGGAAAAAGGTAGAGGAAGGCGCCCGCGCCTGGCACTGTCACCTTCACATCTGCGCTGCTCCACGAGCCGGAAGCCGTCAGGACACAGGCACTGGTGGCCGATCTTGAGGTCCCGGCAGTCATGAGAACAGCCCCCATTGTTGTCCGCACACTCGTTAGTCCCTGTGTGGGGAAGGGGGGAGCGGGGAGAGGGGGGGACACGGAGTGGTCATTCCACCCCCTTCTGCTGGCCATGTGCGGTACTGCCTCCTTTGTATAAGACCCCAGACTTGAGTGAGTTCACAGATCCCACTTCAGGGGGAGGAGCCCTGAGGGCTGGAGCTGGGTGAAAAATGCCAGTCACCCTGGGAATCCACCTGTGGGGGTCCCCTCACCCCAACCCAGTCCTCAGAGCCTCAGGGGAATTATGAGTGCCAAAATAAGTTAGGTGGTGGTCAGGAGTGCACACACTGTGAGTGCATTGTCTTTTCTTTGCAGTACTTGCAACCCAGAGTCTTCCACGTGCTAAGAAGCACTCTACCAGAGCCACGCCCAGCACCAAAGCCATGCCCACTGACCCCGCCCACCCGCACAGAACCACACTGCTCACAAGGACCTGTTGCCATTAGGTCACGCCCTTCACAATTAAGCCATGCCCTCTGCCAATAAACCACACCCCTTACTAGTAGCCTAGTTCCGCTAGGCCACGCCCACCACCTGGCCCTGCTCCCATTGCACAACCAGGCCCACCTCCACAAAACCACGCCCCCATGGTCGTAAATACATTTAATACCACTGAACTATACCCAAGCAAATGGTTACTGGGCTGGGGGAGAGCGCTCGCCTCATTGTGCAAGGCTCTGGGCTCCACCCCAAGGCTGACCCCCCCCCCTTTCTATATGCTTTTCTTACCCAAGCCCCCATATCTTTCTCTTTCATTTTGTCAGCCTTGGGGCTTAAACGCTGGACCTGGGCGCTGTCTCTGAGGGGTTTTTTTGCTCAAGGCCGGAGCTCTATTTCTTTGAGCCATAGCGCCACTTCCAGTTTTCAGGTGTTGCACAGGAGATCAGTCGCATGGACTTTTCCGCCTGGGCTGACTCTGAACTGCGATCCTCAGATCTCAGCCTCCTAAGCTGCTAGGATGACGGGCATGGGCCGCCAGCACCTCGCTCCTGTATGGATCTTTCCTACCAGGAACCCCAACGCTCCACAGGGAGGACAGACAGGAGCTACGCAACTATGACACCCCACAGCATCCACAAATGAGTCTGCTCCCTGTCTCCCCACAAAATCTGTGGCCTTCCCACCGTCGGGACTCACTGCACTCCTTGATGGGCTCGTCGGACCAGTCCCGGCAGTCCCTGGCCGAGTCGCACACTTTGTCCATGCTGATGCACTCGCCGCTGTGGCACTTGAACTTGTTGGGACCTTCGCACAGCGTCACTGTGACAACGCAGGAGAAGGCTCGGGGTGACAGCCGCCAGAACCCCACAAACTCATTACTCTTTTATTTTTTGGTCGGTCGTGGGGCCTGAACTCTGGGCCTGGGCGCTGTCCCTCAGCTCTTCAGCTCAAGGCGAGCGCTCTACCACTTGAGCCACAGCGCCACTTCTGGCTTTTCCTGTGAATGTGGCAAGCAATGTACCACAAAGCCACATTCCCGGCTCTCTGTGAGATTCTTTATCATCAAAAAGCCAATGTGGAGGAGCTGGGAAGGTGGCTCAGTGGTAGAGCGCTTGCCTTGCATGCCTGAGGCCCTGGGTTCGATTCCTCAGCACCACATAAGCAAAAAGAAAAAAGCCGGAAGTGGCGCTGTGGCTCAAGTGGTAGAGTGCTCGCCTTGAGCTGAAGAGCTGAGGGACAGCACCCAGGCCCAGGGTTCAAGCCCCACGACCGGACCAAAAAAAAAAAGCCAATGTGGAGCTGTGGTTCAAGTGGTAGAGCACCAGTTTTGAGCACAAAATCTCAGTGACAGCCCAGTCTTTGAGGTCAAACTCTAGGACTAGCACTGGTGTACACATGCACGTGCACACACACACACACAGCCTAGGCAGAAAAGTCCATGAGACTCCATTTTAACTAGCAAAATGCTGGACTAGAGGCATGGTTCAAGAGATAGAGCACCAGCTGTGAGCAACCAAAAAAGGAAATTCTCACACATGACCACATGGATAAGCTCTGAAGGCGCTATTTTAAGTGAAACATGCCAGGCACATTCATGGTTGTTCTTGCAGGATGACCTCAGATCCACCGAGACCGACAGTGGCAAGGGGAGGGGGTGGTGGAGGAGTGGGGAGTTAATGTTTAGTGGGACGGTTTCAGCTTTGCTAAGTGGGACAATTTCGGTAGGCAGGCAGTGGTAGGGTTACACAACGATTCGAACAGACTTTGTCATTATTCTAACTGTTTTCATTTCTAGTTGCACAGTCTCGCCATGCAGCCCGCCCAGTCAGCCTCCATCCTCAGCCTCCCGAGTGCCAGGATCATGGACGGCTGCCCGGATGCCCTGTGACGTGAGCATATCGAACGCCACTCACATGTAGGGTTAAAAATAACCAGGTGCTGCCAACCAGGCACAAGGTCCAAGGTTCAGACCCTAGCACTGCTAAAAAAAAAGCTGTAACTCAACTAAAACGGTAATTAAATATTATGAGCATTTTGTAGATTGTGTGTGTGTGTGTGTGTGTGTCTGTCCTGGGGTTTGAACTCAGGGCCTGGGTACTGTCCCTGAGCTTCTTTTTGCTCAAGGCTAGCCCTCTACCACTGAGCCAGCGCCATTTTTTCTGGTTCTGTGGTACTGAGGAATTGAACCCAGGGCTCCATGCATGCTAAGCCTGATAAATTCTTATTATATAATATACGCTGGTATTGAACTTGCATTCTCCCTAGACTGGTGCTCTACCACTTGAGCCACTTCTGGTGTTTTGGTAGTTCACTGGATATAAGAGTCTCCTGGACTTCCTGGCCAGGGCTGGCTTTGAACCATGATCCTCAGATATCAGCCTCCCGAGTAGCTAGGATGACAGGCATGAGCCACTGGCACCAGGCTCTAGAATGTTCTCTATGTGGAATTGGATTGACTAGGCAGCCAGAAGTTAGGGTCACTTTGCATCTATTCTAGATGACAGGGCCGATGCCTGGCCGGTGACCCCGCAGGCTGCTCTCCAGCCCCGTCCCTGGGACTACTGTCCCCTGACAGCACCAGAAGCCATCCCAAGCATCACAGCCCCGAGGCTGGAGGAAGCCCCGGCACTCGGTGCTCACCGTTGGCGCAGCCCAGCTCGTCGCTCATGTCCCTGCAGTCATGCTCCCGGTCACACTGGCGGCTGCCGTGGATACAGGTCCCATCCGAGCACCGGAACTCGTCAGGCCGGCAGGTGGTCACAGCTGGAAGGGACACCGGGAGGATCAATCAGGGACAGAAGGGACAACCGTCTCTCTCTAGGCAACGCTTAGCTGAATGTTAGGGTTTGCTGTTGTCTTCGTTATTTGAACTCTGGGCCTGGGCGCTGTCCCTCAGCTCTTCAGCTCAAGGCGAGCACTCTACCACTTGAGCTACAGCGCCGCTTCTGGTTTTCTGGTGGTTCCTGGGAGATAAGAGTCTCATGGACTTTCCTGCCCGGCTTGGCTTTGATCCACAGTCCTCAGATCTCAGCCTCCTGAGTAGCTAGGATGACATAGGACTGAGCTACTGGTGCCCAGCTTGTTGTCTTATTTTTTTTTTTTTTTTTTTTTTGTCGGTAGTGCGGCTTGAACTCTGGGCCTGGGCGCTGTTCCTCAGCTCTTCAGCTCAAGGCAAGTGCTCTACCACTTGAGCCACAGCGCCACTTCCTTGTTTTGGTTTTGTGTGAGTCAGGACTGGGGTTTGAACTCAGGGCCTAGCCACTATCCTGAGCTTTTTTTTTTTTTAACTCAAGGCTGGTGCTCTACCACATGAGCCACAGCTCCATTTGTGACTTTTTCTGGTCCTTCCTTGGAGACAGGCGTGTCACAGACTTTCCTGCCTGGAATGGCGATCCTCTGCTCTCAGCCTCCTGAGTGGTCGGGATGACAGGCGCGAGGTACGGGCGCCTGGCCCGCGTCATGTTCAACCGTTTCAACCTAATTATCCACTTGAAGCCCCGTGGTGCAGCGCGCAGGCCCTGAGCGCGAGCCCTGGGGCTGGCACACAATGCATAAAGAAACGAATCGCTGCTCAGGAGGCTGAGATCCGAGGATCGCGGTTCAAGGCCAGCCCGGGCGGGAAAGTCCGCGGGACCAGCAAACGGGAAGTGGCGCTGTGGCTGGAGCGGGAGCGCGCGCGCCCCGAGTTCGAGCCCCGCGCGGCGCCCGCCCGCCCGTCCGTCGGTCCGCCCGCCCGCCCGCCCCTCCGCCCGCCCGCCGGCCCGTACCGCAGCCGTCCTCGTCCGACCGGTCGCGGCAGTCGGCGCCGCCGTCGCAGCGCCAGCTGATGTGCACGCACTCGCCGCTGGCGCAGTGGAACTCGAGCGCCGCGCACGGGCCCCGCGCGCCGCCCGCCGCCGCCCCGCAGTGCTGCGGCCACTCGTCCGAGCCGTCGTCGCAGTCCGGGTCCCGGTCGCAGGCCCACAGCTCCGGGATGCAGGCCGACGAGTTGCAGCGGAAGTGCGCGGGCCCGCAGGTGGGCGCCGGGCACGCGCGCTCGTCCGCGCCGTCCGCGCAGTCCCGGTCCCGGTCGCACACGAAGCGCCGCGAGATGCACCTGCCGTCGGGGCAGCGGAACTCCTCGGCCGCGCAGGTCCTGGGCGCTGCGGGGGGGGGGGGGCGTCACCCAGAGCCTCGGTGCCCCCCAGGCATCCGATAGAGAGTATGATCACCGCTGCCTCAGTTTCCCCACTCATGGTGAGCACTGGTTAGTCTTGTCCTGAGAACCAGTGGAGCCATGGCTCAAGTGGTAGAGCACCAGCTGAGTGAAAAACCTCAGAGATGGGTTCAAGCCCCAAAGACACACACACCTCAGAGGATTTCCTGTCATCCCAGCTACTCAGGAGGCTGAGAGGATCACAGCTCAAAGCCAGTCCAGGCAGGAAAAGTCAGTCCCTGAACCTTCACGAAGCTAAACGGGTTTTGTAAGTTTTCCTTTATGTTCATTACAGTATATTGTTATGACTGCTTTAATGGAATACTGTGTGAGTTCAGGGGATTCAGGGGCGGGGGTACCCCAGGCTACACCAGCACCCCAGTGCTGCTTGCTGTACCCAATTTATAAATGAAACTTGATCTGGGTATGAATGCATAGGGGACACCACAGCGGGCTCCCATTTATCCTTGACCTCAGGCCTGCTCCAGGGGTCCTGCGGCTCGAACCCAGTGCCTGAGCCCCGTCTCTGAGCTTTTTGGCTCAAAGCTGGTACTGTAATCACTTGAGCCACAGCCCCACTTCTGGCCTTTTTGGTGTCTGTGGTACTGAGGAATCGAACCCAGGGCTTCATGCATGCTAGGCAAGCGCTCTGCCACTGAGCCACCTTCCCAGCCCACTTCTGGCTTTTTTTGGTGGTTCACTAGAGAGAAGTGTCTCTAGACTTTCCTGCCTGGGCCGGTTTCGAACCAGGATCCTCAGATCTCAGCATCTTGAGTAGCTAGGATACCAGGCGTGAGCCATAGGCACCCAGCTTATTTAATTTTAAGACAATGTAGTCCTAGGCTGGCTTCCAACTTGCAGTCCTCTTGCCTCCAACTCCTGAGTGCTGGGATTACAGGTGTGCCCCACCACGGAAGACAACCCGTCCACCTCTCCTTGGTGAGTAGAGTCGCAGAGACTGGGCAAGCGAGTGCCCGCTGAGTCCCCAGAGGAACAGATGGACCATGCCACACTGGTGACAGGCCCTCAGCAGAGCCAGAGCTGAGCTCACAGATGCACATGACCCTGGGGTGTGCAAGATCCCAGGTCCCACTCACCGCAGCCCTGCTCATCCGAGCCATTCTCGCAGTCCTTCTGGCCGTCACATCTCCAGGACTGAGGGATGCAGTGGTTGACAAGGCCTCCGCAATTGAAGTCACTGGCTTTGCAGGTGATAGATGCTGTTCAAGAAAGCAGAATTCGGGCTGGGAAGGTGACTTAATGGAAGAGTGCTCGCCTTGCATGCACGAAGCTCTGGGTTCGATTCCTCAGTGCCACAGACACAGAAAAAGCCAGAAGTTGGTGCTGCGGCTCAAGTAGCAGAGTGCTGGCCTTGAACCAAAGAAGCTCAGGGACAATGTCCAGGACTGAAAAAGGTATGTGTGTGTGTGGGGTCAATAGTGTGTCACTAAGGGGACTCACTGCAGGTCTCCTGGGATTCATCGGAGCCGTCAGGACACTCGGGGCGGCCATCACAAATCCACCCTCTGGAGATGCATTTCCCATCCCGGCACTGAAACTCATTCCGGCTGCATTTGTCTTGGGCTAGGAGAAAAGGGAAGGGGGAGGCTTCCTTAGGACAATGGTCAGTAGGCTACCAAATGCTCATGCTTGTAGTTCCAGCTACTCAGGAGGCTGAGATCTGAGGATTGTGGTTCAAAGCCAGCCTGGGCAGGAAAGTCCATGAGACTTATCTCCAGTGAACCACTAGAAAAGCGGAAGTGGCGCTGTGGCTCAAGTGGTAGAGCGCTCACTTTGAGCTGAAGAGCTGAGGGACAGCGCCCATACCCAGAGTTCAAGCCCCACAAACACAAGAAAGACAGAAAGAAAGACAGACAGACAGACAGACAGACAGAAAAAATAAAGGAAGGAAGGAAGGAAGGAAGAAAGAAAAGAAAATCCAAAATTGGAGTTCTGGATCAAGTGGTAGAGCACCAGCCTTGAGTGAAAAACTCCAGAGAATACCCAGCTTTGAGTTCTAGCTGCAGTATTAGCAACACATACACAAACACACCAACAACAAACCACAGTGGACAAGGCTTCTTGTCACTACGATCGTGCACATATGCTTTCTTTTTCTTTTTTTTGGGGGGGGACTTCTTTGTTTTATTTTTTTGGTGATCTTGGGGCTTGAAGTCAAACCCTGGGCACTGTCCGAGCTTTTGTGTCCAAGAGTGGCACTCTACCACTTTGAGCCCACAGCTCCACTTCCAGCTTTTTGGTCGCTAATTGCAAATAGGAAGTCTTAAGGAGCTGGGCGCAGGTGGCTCACACCTGTAATCCCAGCTACTCAGAAGGCTGAGATCTGAGGATTGCGGTTCAAAACCAGCCCAGGCAGGAAAGTGTGTGAGACTCCTATCTTCAATAAACTCAAAAAAGCTGGAAATGGCTCTGTGGCTCTTTTTGTTTTTTGTTTTTTTTTTGGGGGGGGGTGTCCAGTCATGGGGCCTGAACTCTGGGCCTGGGCACTGTCCCTCAGCTCTTCAGCTCAAGGCTAGCGCTCTACCATGTGAGCCACAGCGCCACTTATGGCTTTTTTCTTTTTGCTTATGTGGTGCTGAGGAATCGAACCCAGGGCCTCATGCATACAAGGCAAGCACTCCACCACTGAGCCACCTTCCCAGCCCCGGCTCTGTGGCTCAAGTGGTAGAGTGACAGGCCTGGAGCAAAAGAAGTTCAGGCACAGAGCACAGGCCCAACACCAAAAAACAAACAAACAAAAAAAAAAGGTTGTCCTAGCCAGGATGGCTTTGAACTGTGATCCTCAAATCTCAGCCTCCTGAGTATCTGGGATCACAGGCTTGACTCGCCTGGTATGTCGTGTATCCTTATAATTACATAATTATAGACTACATACCTTATGCAATCAGAATGTGGTAGATACAGACAGGTTATGTTACTGTCACATATGTTGGGATGTACTGTATATAGTTGCACGCAATTACAGACGATCAGTAACAAGGTATCACACGCTCAGCACCATGTACTATATGAGACACAAAGTAGCTCTGGACCAGCTCCAGGCGGCGAGGGGGCGGGACTCTCCTGACCAGCGCAGTTCTCGCGAGACCGGCGCCGCGAGATGAGAGCAGTCGGTGGTTAGAGCCAGGCTGCTCTGCGCCCCTCCCCCTTTTCCCTTCCCCGCATGCGCAGTCGGCCCTTCCGCTTTCCCTCCGCGGCCTTCGCGTGGCCGCGGGCGCCAGGCCCACGCGGAAGCTCTGGTGGAGCTCTGAGCTTGCTTCGGCCTTCAGAACCGTGAGCTAAATGAGCTTTTAAAAAAAATTTATTTACGTATTTCTATGTATTATATTCGCTTATATGAAATTTGCGTCAAACACTCTTAGGCGGCGGTCCGGGAGTGATGACGTCAGCCGTGCGCGCGGGCTGACGCGCCCCGGCCGGAAGCTCGTGTGTGTGCGCGTGTGTGTCTGTCTGTCTTGTCTCTGTCTGTCCGTCCGTCCGTCCGTCCGTCCAGGCTGGTCTCGAGCCTCCGCGCGGCCTCCCGAGCCCTTCAGGCTGGTTTCGGTGGTGGGGTGGGGCTTCATGCTTGGAGGCAGCCCGGCTTGCCGCGCTGCGAGGGCATGCCTGTAATCCACGCTAACACCCCACAGGTTGAAGCCAGAGGATCTGGAGTTCAAGATCAGCCTGGGTTACATAAGAGGCCCCTGACTCGGGGACACTGAAAAGGACGGGTGTTTCGACCGTGCGTGAAATCTAATAATGCTGTGTTCCTCCGGCTAGTTCTGCAGTGGGGTTACTACTTAGCCAGAGGCAGATCGTCTCTGGAGCGTTCGGGTTCCGCCTTTCTCTCCCCCACCCCCAACACACACCGAGCGCGCTGTGTGTCCGATGGGTGGAGGTCCCCTAGGGGAGGGGGGCTGTTGGTAGTTCAGAGCCAGCCTGGGCAGGAAGTCCATGAGCCTCTTATCTCCAATAAACTACACAGAAAAAGTCTGAAGCGGCCCTGTGGCTCAAGGACTAGAGGGCTAGCCTTGAGCAAAAGAGCTCAGAGACAAAGCCCAGGCCCAGAGTTCATGTCCCAGGACAGGACTGGCCAAAAAAAAAAAGACGGCCTGTATACACTGGCCAAAGTGCAGTGAACTAACCCAGTGTGGTCATGCACGCTTCTAATCCCAGCATTTGGGAGACTGAGGCAGGAAGTTCATAAATTCCAGGGCAGTGCGGACAAGCCCCAGACTGCGAGGGTGATGTAGTGAGACCTTCTCTCAAACCAACCCAGCAAAACACACAAGCCCCAGAACTGGTCACTTAATACATGCTAATAATAGTTTGTTGGTTGTACTTTACAAAGAAAGCAGGGCTGGGGGGGGGGGGGGAGGGATGTCTGGCTACTGACATAGAGCAGCTGCTTAGCCCCAGAGAGGCCCTGGGTTTAATCCAGAAAAGGGGGGGGGGAGGGGCGCGCATGTGGAATGAAAGGAAACTTCAGCCCTTCCATGTTCCATATATTGATCTGGCTCCAGGACGCATGAGATTCAGACCCAGTTACAAGGCCCAAGTGGCCCCAGTGAGTCCAGGTGACAGGCATAGGGGTGGGAAGGAGGGAGGAATGAGTTGATCTTTGGTATCAGCAGTGGTTACAGGATACCGGAAGTTCTATTGCCCAACCCTAGATGTGGGCAATGCGTCACCGGAGGCCTTGGACAGCAGGGCCCCACAGCCACGCCTGTCGACTCCTGGCTCAATGGTGAGGTGCTCAAGGGTGGAAGTGACTCACTGAGGCTGGCTGGGCTGAAGGGAAGGCCCCTGGGGTTCTTGGATTCTCAGAAATAAAAGGGGAAGCTCAAGCCGGGGCATTGGCAATACGGATGACAGAACGGGGCATGGTGGCACCCTCCTGTAATCTTGGCACTCAGGAAACAGAGGCAAGAGGATCTTGAGGTTAAGGCCAAGCCCGGTTATACAGGGAGGCTGTCTCGGGAGAAATAAAAAGATGCTGCCAAGGAGCCGTTCAGCATCTGATCAGATCACTGCAGCCGAGTGTCCATTCGTCCACTGCCATCACCTCCACTTGTTTAGGAAAAGGCCAGGACTGGGACTTTGTTAGTAACACCCTGAAGGACTTTCAGAGCAGAACAAAGAATAACCAAGTCCTCCAGGAACAGCAAGCTGCTGCTCCAGGCGTTAGTGTAGAGACCTGCACTCAGAAGACCTGATGCCCTTTGTGAACTCAGGGCCTGAGCTGCGTTTGCTCAAGACCATCACTCAAGAGGCTGGGAAGGTGGCTCAGTGGTAGAGCGCTTGCCTCACATGCATGAGGCCCTGGGTTTGATTCCTCAGCACCACATACATAGAAAAGACTGGACGTGGTGCCGTGGCTCAAGTGGTAGAGTGCTAGCCTTGAGCTGAAGAGCTGAGGGGCAGCGCCCAGGCCAAGCCCTAGGACCAACAAAAAAACAAAACCCAAAAACTATCACTCTACCACTGGAGCCACAACTCCACTGCTGGCTTTTTGCTGGTTAATTGGAGATGAGTCTCATGGACTTTCCTGCCTGAGCTGGCTTTGACGCATGATGCTCAGATCGCAGGATCCAGAATAGATAGGATGACAGACCAGAGCCACAGAGCCCAGCCAAATCATCCACTTCTTTTTTTGTTTTGTTTTGTTTTTGCCTGTCCTGGGGTTTGAACTCAGGGCGTGGGCATTGTCCCTGGGCTTCTTTTGCTCTACCACCTGACCACAGCGCCACTTTGGCTTTTTCTGTGCATGGTACAGAGGGCTTCATGCATGCTAGGCAAGCACTCCACCCCTAAGCCACCTTCCCAGCCCCTTGCAGCTTTACAGCCTGGCTGGTGGGGAAAGAGGCCTCCAGGGGTCAGAGCCCAGCCCTTCCTGAGCAGAGGAACGGATGGCATTATTCTGTTCCCAACAGCACAGCCCAAAGACCATGCGTCTTTCTTGTTCTTTCATAACAAGATTTGAACCTCAGCAAAAACCAAACCAGAGTTTGGATCCCCACATGTCCACATGCCGGGGCCGCCAGCCATGTGTGCAGTGCACACCTGTAATTCCTTCGGAGGCAGGGAGAGGGGAATGGGTCCACAGTAAAACCCCGTCTCAAAACGAGAAGCCTCGCCGGCCCTTAGATCACACACGGTACGAATGACAAGTCACGAGGGTTATCGAAATCGGAAAGGAGAAAACAATATTTCTGCTTTTTTTTTTTCTTCCCCTCAGCACACAAATGATGTGGTCAGAGCTTTCAGTGGTTTCTGTGTCACGTTTCTGAAGATGGTTGGTACAGGGAAATGAAAACCTTAGAACGGGTTCCTCGAGGACATGGATTCTTGTGGCAGGAGTAGATGCCCCAGTACACAGGAAAGAGAAATTAACCTGCATGATGGTGCACATCTGTAGTCCCAGCTGCTGAGGAGGCTGAGGCACAGACTGGGCATTAGTAAGGCCCCATCCTTCAGGGAAAAAAGAGGGCGGGACCTGTACTCTGTGGTAGAATGCTTGCCCAGCATGACCGAGGCCCTGAGTTCCAGCCCCAGCACCCCAATAATCAGTAGATGCAGGGTTCTTTCCCAAAGAGAAGGGACGTGGCGTAGAGGTAGAGTGCTTGCCTAGCATGCACAAATCCCCGGGTTCGATTCCTCAGCACCATAGAAACAGAAGTGTTGCCATGGCTCAAGTGGTAGAGTGCTAGCCTTGAGCAAAAAGAAGCCCCAGGACTGGTAAAAAAAAAACACAACAACCAAAAATCACGAAGAGGAGAAGACTCTGACCCCGGTCCCTGAGGAAGGGCAGCCTGCCTCTCGCTGTCCCGTGCCCATGCCAGTTTTCCGGCAGCAACAGGCTTTGCTTGGCAATCCTGAAGGGTGTGGAAAGGAAAGGGCGCGTCCGCAGCCCTCCGAACACGAACAAGGGGAGCCCTGGCAGGAGCTGCCGTGAAGGCAGTGCTGTGGAAGGCAGTGGGAGTAGGGACCGTTCCCGACGGCGCGGGCGTCAGCTCCAGAAGGCGCAGTGCAGGCGGGCCGGGGATGGCGGGGCCGGGGATGGCGGGGCGGGCCGGGGATGGCGGGGCGGGCCGGGGATGGCGGGGCGGGCCGGGGATGGCGGGGCCGGGAATGGCGGGGCCGGGGATGGCGGGGCGGGCCGGGGATGGCGGGGCCGGGGATGGCGGGGCCGGGGATGGCGGGGCGGGCCGGGGATGGCGGGGCCGGGGATGGCGGGGCGGGCCGGGGATGGCGGGGACGGGGATGGCGGGGACGGGGATGGCGGGGCGGGCCGGGGATGGCGGGGCCGGGGATGGCGGGGCGGGAGCGGGCCGGGGATGGCGGGGCCGGGGATGGCGGGGCCGGGGATGGCGGGGCGGGAGCGGGCCGGGGATGGCGGGGCCGGGGATGGCGGGGCGGGCCGGGGATGGCGGGGCGGGCCGGGGATGGCGGGGCGGGCCGGGGATGGCGGGGCCGGGGATGGCGGGGCGGGCCGGGGATGGCGGGGCGGGAGCGGGCCGGGGGTGGCGGGCCGGGCCTGTAATCCTGCGCTGTGGGGCTGAGGCCGCGGAGGACCGAGGGTTCCAGGCCACCTTGGGCTCCGCGTGGCGCCAGACCCGGCCGCAGGCATGAAAAAACGGAAAAGGAAGCTCTGCGCATCCTTCAGCAATTGTCGCAGGGTGCGAACGTGCAGGGGTGTGCGGGGCTGTGCGCCCCACCTAGCTCGGGGGAAGGGGGTGCAGCCCTCGGTCCAGTTCCTCGGGACAAGGTCCTGCCTTAGGGGGGCGGCCGGGGCGCTCCGCAGTGCGGGGGGAGGCTGGCCCGCAGGCCTAAGGCGCAGTTACCAGGGACTCCACGTCCCCCCCTCCGAGAGCGCGAGAACGGAAGGGGTCCCCACCTTCGGTGACAGGGACCTACCAACATCCAGGCGGGGAGGCGCCGCTTCCCGCCCGGCCCCGCCCCAACGCCCCAGGCCCCGCCCCTGCCTCGCCCCATTGGCCAAGGGGAGTGGCTCGAGGCTCGCGTGTTTCGGGCATACCCAATAGGAGATCAGGGGTGGGGCCTCGGGGAGGGGACGCGGGCTGGGGTCCGGCCCGCGTGGGGCTCCGTCGCACGAAGCCCAAGGGGGGGGTCACAGCCGCAGGGACCCCAAGTTGGAGGACTGGGTCCCGTCACCCTCGCCCCCAGAACGAGTGAGGGAGAAGCCCCGGGTTAGGGGTTCTCCCTCCATGTACGGATTCGAGGCGACCCTCAACGGCGGGGGCTTGGGGGAGCCCCGCCCCAGCCCCCGGCCCCCGACCCCCGACCCCGGCGAACGCGGGCCGCCTCCGCGCGGGGCACCCCGAGGCCGGTCCGGGCGGCTCGCTCCGCTTCCTCGGAGCACGGCCTCGGGGCTCCCCGCGTCCGGGTGCCCCCGCCCGGCGCGGCCTTACCTGCAGCCCCCGCCGCAGCCAGGAGCAGCGCGGCGGCGCACAGCAGCTCCGCGCCGCGGGTCCCCATGCTCCCGGCCGCCGCGCCGCGCCGCGCGTCCGCCGGCCACCGCTCGGGCCGCCAGGCTTCGCCGCCGGGGCTCCACGCGGGCGGGCGGGGCGGGGCGGGGCCTGCGGTGGGGTGATTTTCAAAAGTCCGCACCTCACGGGGCGGGGCCGCGCCTTAACCCCCGCGGCGCCGGAGCGAGTCCGGCCGCGGGAAACGAAGCTCGCACCGGCTCGCCCCAAATGGCCACGTGAACCGTAACCGGTGAAACCTTCCGGGGTGCAGCCCGGGCGTTACCGAGTGTGCGCGCGCGTGCGCGTGTGGGGGTGTGTGGGGTGTGTGTGGGGTGTGTGGGTGTGTGTGGGGTGTGGGTGTGTGTGTGTGGGGTGTGTGTGGGGTGTGTGGTTGTGTGTGTGGGGTGTGTGGGGGTGTGTGGGTGTGTGTGGGGGGGTGTGTGGTTGTGTGGGGTGTGTGGGTGTGTGTGGTTGTGTGTGTGGGGTGTGGGGGTGTGTGTTGTTTGTGGGGAGTGGGTGTGTGTGGGTGTGTGTGGTTGTGTGTGTGGGGTGTGGGGGTGTGTGTTGTGTGTGGGGTGTGGGGGTGTGTGTGGGGTGTGGGGGTGTGTGTGGGGTGTGGGGGTGTGTGTGGGGTGTGGGGGTGTGGGTGTGTGTGGTTGTGTGTGGGGTGTGGGGGTGTGTGTGGGGTGTGGGGGTGAGTGGGGTGTGGTTGTGTGTGGGGTGTGGGGGTGTGTGTGGTTGTGTGTGTGGGGTGTGGGGATGTGTGGGGTGTGGGGGTGTGTGTGGTTGTGTGTGGGGTGTGGGGGTGTGTGTGGGGTGTGGGGGTGTGTGTGGGGTGTGGGGGTGTGTGTGGGGTGTGGGGTGTGGGGGTGTGTGTGGGGTGTGGGGGTGTGTGTGTGGGGTGTGGGGGTGTGTGTGGTGTGTGTGTGGGGTGTGGGGGTGTGTGGGGTTGTGTGTGGGGTGTGGTTGTGTGTGTGGGGTGTGGGGGTGTGTGTGGGGTGTGGGGGTGTGTGTGGGGTGTGGGGTGTGGGGGTGTGTGTGGGGTGTGGTTGTGTGTGGGGTGTGGTTGTGTGTGTGGGGGTGTGTGTGGGGTGTGGGGGTGTGTGTGGTTGTGTGTGTAGGGTGTGGGGATGTGTGTGGGGTGTGGGGGTGTGTGTGGTTGTGTGTGGGGGGTGGGGGTGTGTGTGGTTGTGTGTGGTGTGTGGGGGTGTGGTTGTGTGTGGGATGTGTGGTGTGTGGGGTGTGTGTGGGGGGTGTGGTATGGGGTGTATGTAGTATGGTGTGTGTGGTGTGGTTGTGTGTAGTATGGTGTGTGTGGGATATGGTTGTGTGTGGGATGTGTGTGGGGTGTGGTATGGGGTGTATGTAGTATGGTGTGTGTGGTGTGGTTGTGTGTAGTATGGTGTGTGTGGGATATGGTTGTGTGTGGGATGTGTGGGGGGTGTGGTATGGGGTGTATGTAGTATGGTGTGTGTGGTGTGGTTGTATGTAGTATGGTGTGTGTGGTGTGTGTGGGATGTGGTTGTGTGTGGTGTATGGGGGGTGTGGTATTGGGGGGGTGTATGTAGTATGTGGTGTGTGTGGTGTGGTTGTGTGTGGTATGGTGTGTGTGTGTGATGTGTGGTTGTGTGTGGGGTGTGGGTGTGTGTGTACATCCCGCTGAATGAGAAGCAAAAACATCTCAAAAATCAGCTGGGGCTGGGAAGGCGGCTGGGTGGTAGAGCGCTTGCCTGGCAAGCTTATGAGGCCCTGGGTTTGATTCCTCAATACCACATACACAGAAAAAGCCGGAAGTGGCGCTGTGGCTCAAGTGGTAGAGTGCTAGCCTTGAGCTGAAGAGCTGAGGGACAGCACCCAGGCCCAGAGTTCAAGCCCCAGGACTAACAAAAAAAAAAAAAAATTAGTTGATAAACACTCTGGACACATTCACTGATGTTAGGAAGAAGGGTACAAGAACCAGAGGAGAAGCCTGGAAAACACTTGTCTACACCCACAAAACTTGGAGGGATCCTGTGGAAATGAGCCAGTATAAAGTGAGCTGAGCAGGAGGATTCTGGAGACAGCCCCAGAGCGTGGCTGTCAGTGTAACCAGCCAGATGCTGGCTGCAGGGAAGGGCTTCCCCAGAGCCCCGGCTGAAGGTGCTAGTTCTTCTGTGCCCTGAGGCGGTGATCAGTCACCTGGAGATTTAAACTCCTGTCCTGCTGTGGAAAAAAATAGAAATTACTGGGTGGGAGGCTCACACTGTAGTGCTAACTACAGAGGCTGAGATCTGCGGATCCTGGTGCAAAGCCAGCCTGGGCAGGAAAGTCCGTGAGACCTTTCTTTAAAAAGCTGGGGCTTGAACTCAGGACCTCAAGGCTAGCACTCTACCACTGGAGCCACAGCGCCACCTCTGCCTTTTTCTGTGTACGTGGTACTGAGGAATGGAACCCAGGGCTTCATGAGCATGATAGGCGAGCGATCTGAGCCGCCTTCCCAGCCCTCTGGGAGACTCTTGGATCGCCAATGAACCACCAGAAAAAAAAAAAAAAAAAGCCGGCAGTGGCGCTGCGGGAGGCGCTGGCCTTCGGGGAAAAAGTTCGGGGACAGAGCCCAGGCCCTGGGTTCAGCCCAGGACTGGCCAAGACAACAGAAACCCAACTTGGTTTAGTTGCCTTTAGAAAAATTACAAGAAATAACAAGCTTAGTCTGTGATCAGTCAGTCCTGTGTCTGTGTGTGTGTGTCTGTCTATGTGTGTGAAAGAGTGAGTGTGCGTGTGTCTGGGGGAGGGGGATCTCTCCTGCCTTGGTCTCCACAGCGGCTAGACTCTGCGCATGCTCGCTGCAGGCTAGCCGCCCTGCCAGGCCCTGTCCGGGGCTGCGGGTCAGGGCCGCCTGGGGAAGGCCAGCCTAGCTCTGCACTGACGCCCCTGTGGCCCCGGTTCCAGGACTGCTTCTGGAGGCCTCAGGGCTCTGGCCTCTCCTGGCCCTGCCTCCGGGGCCCATGCCCTGAGGCTGGAGCGCCTGAACCCTCCAGCAGGGGACGGGGTGGGGGACGGGCAGAGGCCGGCCGCGCCCTCTGCCCACAGTGAGCAGCCCCTCCCCAGCCGCCCACAGTGAGCAGCCCCCCCAGCCCCCCCCAGCCGCCCACAGTGAGCAGCCCCCCCAGCCCCCCCCAGCCGCCCACAGTGAGCAGCCCCCCCAGCCCCCCCCAGCCGCCCACAGTGAGCAGCCCCCCCAGCCCCCCCCCAGCCGCCCACAGTGAGCAGCCCCCCCAGCCGCCCACAGTGAGCAGCCCCCCCCAGCCCCCCCCAGCCGCCCACAGTGAGCAGCCCCCCCCAGCCTCCCCCAGCCGCCCACAGTGAGCAGCCCCCCCAGCCCCCCCCAGCCGCCGCTTTTCCCTGAGCGCTTCCTCTTCAGGAAGGCCCGCCCCTCCCTGTGGCCGACGATGAGTGGGGCTTCCGGTGTGGGTTACGGGGTGGGCAGAGGGAGGGCAGCATTCACCAGAGCTGGGGTGAGCTTCGGGGGGGGCACCTCTGACCCCCGCTGAGGTTCAGCCGCCCCCCCAGACCGCCCCCGGCCTTGACCCCGATCCCAATCCTCGCCGCGCGGACAGACGGACCCGCGCGGACAGACGGACGGACCCGCGGCCCTGGTCGTAAAGCTGGGGTCTCCTCCTGCCGGGGCTCGCCCTGCACTCAAGGGGTCCCCGCCTCCCCTCCCCAGGCCGGACTTCCTGTCTGCGTCCCGAGGTCTGCGGAGCAGGATGGCGAGCGGCCCAGGCCCGGGCGGGCGACGGGCGAGGCCTGGAGCCTGGAGCCCTCTTCCCCCGCCGGGCCGCGGTGGAAGGTTCTGGCCGTTCTGGCCGTGTACTTGCCAGGAGGGCGTTCGACTGTTTGTTGATTTTTCAGATTAGGTCCCCTGGTTATTGCTTTTTTTTTTTGGTCGGTGGTGGGTCTTGAACTCGGGGCCTGGGCGCTGTCCCTCAGCTCTGCAGCTCGAGGCCAGCGCTCTACCTCTTGACCACAGCGCCACTTCCGGTTAGCGCCTCGGGACTTTGCTGCCCGGGCTGGCTGTGAGCCCGATCCTCGATCGCAGCGTCCTGAGTGGCTGGATGACAGGCGGAGCCGCCGCGCCCGGCTCCCAGGACTGTCCAGTGCAATCACCCTGCCTCCTCCTGCCAGGCAGCTGGGATTCTAGGTGGGGACCACCTTGCCTGGCTAGGGTGAGGTTGAAGGTTGACGTGCAGGACTGGATGCCGCCGGCTGAGGGAATGCAACTGGAATGTTCTAGCAGCAGAAGGGAAGGTGGGGGCCCGGTGGGCCGAGTGGATGGCGTTCTGTCCGGAGCGGGTGGGGCCGTGCTCTTGAGCAGATGGTCCTGCCGTCTCCGGAGCTCACAGGTGGCTCCGGTCATTCCCGGGGACCCGGAGAGGGTGTCCCAGGGGAAGGATGAGGGGGTGGGGGCTCTGCTGTGATTTCGGGGGCCCATCTGCGCAGCCCATGTTGAAGCTGCATAAGCAGAGTGGGACTTGAACTGCTGAGCCTGAGTTGCCTATCACCTGGTCGTGGGGGCAGGGTTGGCATAAGCCAGGAAGACAGCGTCTGACGTGGGTGCAGTGGGGGTGTGTGTGGAACCGGGCACCGGTGGCTCACGCATGAATCCTAGTTACCCAGGAGGCTGAGATCTGAAGATCATGGTTCAAAGCCAGCCGGGCAGCAAAGCCCATGAGACTCTTCTCTCCAATGAACGACCAAAAACTGGAAGTGGCGCTGTGGCTCCAGCGGTAGAGTGCTCGCCTTGAGCTGCAGAGCTGAGGGACAGCGCCCGGGCCCAGAGTTCAAGCCCCACAATGAACCAAAATAAAGAATTTTCTAGAGAGACAGCAGGGATGGGCACCCATGTGGGTTCTGCTGCGATGCTGCCCACACAGGCTGGCGTTTGGTTTGCTGTTCTGCTGTTGTGTAGGGCTGCTCAGCAGGCTGAGGTCTGAGGACCCCGGTTTGGCTTCGGGCTGGGTGGGGAGGTCCTCG